GGATGTGACCCCCTCTGAAGCTGGAAACCTTGTTTTTGCAAAATAAATTTATGCAATTTGCTATTATAGGCCTAATCAATAAATTCCTCATCAACCGATAAAACCTTAAACATTCTTGGAATTGACATAACATTACTGATGTCGTACACACCCGATAGTGTGAAATGTGGCTCTCTTTGCAAGCACATCTAACATCTAAGGAAAGAAGAGCTTAGATTGGTACCAGATAAAATAATTTTGTTATCAACATTATATTAACATTATGCTAATTTTCATCTTTGTAAGCGCATAAGACAGTGCAAATTATTTCTGTGATAGTCTTTTGAAGTGTGTAAAGCCCCATTTTATCCCACACATAGTCAAAATATTGGGGGGATGATACAATGGACCATCCCCCCTTGTCAAATATTGGGGGATATATCCCCCTATCCCCCCGGGATCTACGCCTATGGTGCTCAGCTTTAGCCTAACAGTAGTGGCGCTAAGTGGGGATAAATCCCCCCCCCACCCCACCGCCGTCGAAATATCATGTTGGAAGTAATAATGATTTTAACATTGCAGGTAAAGGGGCGCTCTTAGTGTCGTTAGGCCTTCATTATAACCTTATTGGACTAAGCTAATAACTACATGATACCAGTTTATTAATATCATTATATAATATCTCTAAAGACTTGATTGACCGACTTCACTTTTTATATCGTGAACGTTACTTTCACAATACTATAGATAAGCCTATATAATTTTCAACAGATTACAAGATTTTTAAATTTAATAAATTAAAGTAAAAATACTTACCTTGTCGGGTTTCTCGGGGCATGTCCCAAGACCTCACCGAGACCCCAAGCGTCACTGGCTTCCGATTACGATCGCTTCGCTCTTTAAGGCCAACTCAGACAGCGTCGGCCGACGCAGCCCGACCCGATTTATCGTCGGGGACAGTCTTGAGCCGTCGTGAGAAATATTAAACATGTTTAATATTCTACGACACGCCTGTCCCCGACGCACACCATTGCGTCTGTGTTTAACTCACACAGACCCGACGCGACAGCAAATCGCGTCGGGCTGCGTCGTACGACGCTGTCTGAGTTGGCCTTTACTCGCCCGCTTTTCAATCAGTTTCCAGAAGTACAGCAAAAATAGTTCCTTTCTTGACAATCAAATAGGCAAAAAAGTAGGCCTACCATTTTTGATGTTGTTGATAATTAATTTTATATTTCTTATAATGTTAATTTTTATGTATTTTGTACTTTTGTTGTTAAGCTTTAAAACTGATTATCTTAGTTAAAAGCTGGTTTATATTAAAAAGGAAGATATATACAACAGGTTTAGTCGATGACCTCGTAATGTTCAGTTCTCTAAATTTAGAGAGTACATTGCAAGTTAGTAGCTACTAATTTGTGTGACATTCCAGGTGATTTCCACAAAAGTTGTTTAAAGATAAAACAGATATGGTTCAGGATGCTGGTGACAATGATTTAATGTGTTTACTGTAATGTAGAGAACGCAATTTATACTTCGTGTTTGTCATCTAAATAACACAATTACAGATCTGACAGCGCAAGAAAACACAAGGAAAACGATAATATGCGTACTGGCTCCGTTGGCAGTTTTATCACTTCGCACCACACTTTGCTTCCAATACTCATTAAAGAAGCTATTGCTGCTAGGCATATTATTCGTAATTGTTTATTCCACGTTTTCGTTTGTTTCGCCGATTTGTTACACCTTTCACACGCAGACGACTGAGGCCAAAAGGTAAACCTCCTAAAATATAGACCGCGAACTGAGTTATGTAAACATAATACCGTATCTTATCACAATGTTTTACTCCGAATGAAGTTCAGAAATTTTGGGCCTTCTCTGATTTTTGTTTTCCACCACAATGAGTTGCATTCTCGTTGAAAGCTGTTTTTATCGTCTGTTAGATAAAGAGTACGGTAATGTCGGGTAGAAATGTGTTTTTTTTCCCCTTTTTTTTCGGAAAAGGTTATAAATGACTTGGATAGAATCGTTACCTACATAGGCCGTGTAAAAAAATGGTGTGAAAGTTGCTTTACTTTGTATTTTTTGTCAGTTGTCCTCACACTGCGGAAGAACACAGGAGTGTTTGAAATATTTGTGATTTAATAAATTATATCGTTTCTAGTATGTTTACAACTCACAGCT